ATAACTCTTATAATTTATTCCGATTCTTATTTTGAACCCACTGAGGGACTAAACGGACCCAATTAAATCAAGCTCTAATAAATTAATCTTGACCCGATTAACTCTTGATTGGTCTAGATAATTTATTAATCACTATCTATTTCACTAAAAGAATGTAATTGCACTCCAAATTTAATTGAAATTACTGAAGCTACAATAATTATATCATCTGACAAATTGCTCTTACATATTACCCTCGTTAATCATGTTGAATATTTGGAAATGAGTAAAATGACCAAAATGTCCATTTTCCAAATATACGTTATATCCTCAATCCCATTTTCTATTTGACAGTTCCACGTGATCATATCACAATATTAATTCAATAGTCATGTCAAATTACTCTCAGATTTAATTGTTCATTGGAAAATCTCTTAGGTCATGATCATGCCTATTAAATAGGTTACGGATTCCATATCATGAAAATATGTTCTCTAATTATTTCACTTTAATTCCCAAGGGATCGAGATATTGATTAGAAATTTAATCCCACTCGTTGATACCTCAAAAAACTTCAAGCTAGTAATCAAAGTTCATTACTCGTTCAGGACTAAGGTACTACGTACAATAGTAAGTGAAATTAAATTCAAGTGGTCAATTTCATAAATTAATTTCACGTGGTCCAGTCCAATACATTCCAAAAAATGTACAATCAATGTTATTGCTAAAGTCAAGATCAACTTTAAATAAAAATTGAGACACTCTTATCAAAATGAAGTNATAAACTTTAGATCGAATTATAAATCAAATCTTTCAATGTTTAACAACTTAAACACTCGATTTATAATATCAAGTGGATCCATGAACAAAATGCAAGCTCAATTTAATACAAAAAAAATTTATTAAAAAATTAAAAATAAATTATTATCTTTATTTCAAAATGTCACGAGTACAATAAATTTACTCAAAGGGCTAAAATTAAACTAACAATTCTCCCACTAAACCTAGAGTAAATGAGACATGTTAAGTAAATCCATATTTTCAGTATGTCCCTCAAAGCTCATAGTAGGCAAACTCTTGGTAAATGGATCAACAAAAGTTTATGCAAATGCTATCTTGTACACTGTTACATCTCCTCGTTGAACGATTTCCCTAACTAGGTGATATTTTCGTTCAATGTGTTTTCCACGTTGATGACTTCTTGGTTCTTTTGCATTTGCCCCTGCTTCGCTGTTATCACAGTACAAAATAACAGGACACAATGCTGAAGGAATCATCTCAAGGTCTAGCAAAAACTTCCTTAGCCATACGACTTCCTTGGCCGCTTCACAAGCTGCGACATACTCTACCTCCATAGTGGAGTCAGCAATGCAAGACTGCTTGACACTCGTCCATATAACGGGACCGCCATCCAATGTGAACACTGATCCTGATGTGGACTTGTGAGAGTCCCTATCAGCTTGAAAATCAGAATCAATATAACCCGTAGAAACCAAATCTAGAGCTGAATAAACCAACACATAATCTCTAGTTCTACCAAGGTACTTGAGTATATGCTTAACAGCGGTCCAGTGCTCGGTCCCGGGTTTGACTGATATCTCTTGACTATTCCAACAGCATAACAAATATCAGGTCGTGTACATAACATCGCATACATGAGACTTCTTACAGATGAGGCATAAGGAACCTGTTTCATGTACTCCATTTCACCGGGAGTTTTAGGGCAATGCTCCCGTGAAAATTGAATTCCATGTCTAAAAGGCATTTGACCTTTCTTGGAATTTTGTATAGAAAACCTGACCAGTATTTTGTCTATATATGAAGCTTGGGAAAGAGCAATCTTCTTGTTCTTCCTATCCCGAAAGATTTGGATACCTAGAACATAATTGGCATCTCACAAATCCTTCATATCAAATTGTTGTGCTAACCAGTTTTTGACTGATGTCAATGCTCAAATATCATTCCCAATGAGTAAAATGTCATCAGCATACAATATGAGAAAAATAACCTTGTTGTCTTTAATACGCTTA